ACATTATGCAATTAGTTGCCAGGTGTGCTATCTTGGGTGACCAATGAGACTATACACCAATACCTGAAAAGATTTATCACTTTTTTAGTATATTAAACTGTTAAAAGACACATCATTTGGAACAGTTTTGTGGATATTGATGGATACATTCCTCGAACAAGGTAATGGCCTGATATTGTTCCTATAACTTTAATCTGTTTTAATTTTAATATTTGCATTTTGTTTTATTCATTTTGTCGTAGCATTCAACAGAATCATTGTTTTAGCCGTGAAGTGTAATGAGACAGACAACATGCACTAGGGTGTGTGTGTGCGAATTATGATTCACATTGGCAAACTATAAAATGTCTAGATATTACAGTTCTGTTATAAATTCACTATAAGTATCAGCAGAGATCGTCTGCTTTTTATTTAGTTTCAAAATGCATACAAGTGTGATAATAAACTAATTAGGATTATAAGACCAAATATAAAGGCGCACATTGACTAGTATCTACATACTGGTGAGTGGACATTAACCATGGGAATGTAGCAAAAGAAATTTATCGGCGCAGTATTGTGACCGACCCCCACCTGGCTTCCGTGGAAGAAATCGTTATGTTATAAGTTGTGTCATGCAAAATCCGTTTGGTTATGATTCCAATACATATTTAACAACGAGTAGAAAGTAGTCTTGATTTTCTAACTTGATGAAAACAAACTATAATCTCATTAATTCTAACAGATTTTTTTATTTTTAAAATGAAGCCCTGTCGGGAACATCCGCCAGTCTGAGGATAAATGGTATTTAGGTTTGTTTTCACCGGTCTAAAATCAAAACTACTTTCTACTGGTAATAAAATATGTATTTTATTGATAGCCAATAGGATTTTTGCATGACATAGCATATATCATAACAATTCTCTCTATGGCAGCGAGGTGGGTGTCAATATAATACTACTTACAATATTATTGTTACTTGACCACAACCTCACTTCCGGAAGAAATCGTTATGTTACAAGTTGTGTCATAGAAAATCTTTATGGTCATCAATCATATGCATATTTTACTACAACTAGTAAGTAGTTTTGATTCTTTAACTTCCGTGAAGCGATCTGAACACAAGTAAGATATCGTTTCAGGCTTCCACAGCGGCTAAACCGCACTCACAAACATAACCCATTTAGCACGAACTGCGGGGTCCTGTGGAAATCTGTGCATGGGGACACCATCGCCCGACCCCTAGGAGCAATTGGCGACAAAGCAGCGATTAGGCATGTAAATGTCGTTGATGTCGAGAAATCATCAAAATGATGGCGTGCTACACATTTTCTATACAACTAACTGAAAATCGTTCCTCATATGGCGTCACTGCAGTGCTCTGGCGACAGAGTTTCGTAACCTGTCTGTGGTTTTTGGTTGAGGAGGGAAGCGAGGCGACTTTTTGGCCACTTTTAATCGCAAATTTCGGTATTAATTAACCACAAGTTTTTAAAGAATAAATTTGGTGTTCCGCATAAGACTAACCACAAATCTTTCATATGTAATGTAATGGTTAAAGAGTAACAAAAACAAAGTTTAGTGGTTCTTTAAAAATCGACCTTCATTACAAAGTTTCAAGTCGTACTTTAAGTGCGAGCAACCTGTAGCTCCATCATATTACTCGTTTGGAATTAGAAAATTAAATATTATACACACAAAGTTGAGATATATGACTAGTCAGCTAAATTATGATCTGTATCGTTTCAACATGAAAGATTCTGCTTCTTGTTACTGTGGCAATACTTGTGAAAATGTACATCACTTCCTATTAGAATGTAAACTGTACAACATCCAAAGGGAAATATTAATGTTAAATTTAAAAAGTATTGTAAATCGAGACTCTCCAATCACATTGTCATTGATGTTATTTGGAAGTCCTGATATGACCATTCAACAGAATGAATACGTTTTTAAAGGTGTGCAAACTTTTATTCATCAATCGAAACGTTTTGTGTGATCACATGAGTTGTATCCCTTCCTCTACTTAACTTTCCTATCTCTTCTCTCTATTCTTTCCTAATATGTATATAATTGAAAATGTATGTATGTAAATATTAGGGAGCGGGTATTTTAAGTTGGATTACTTGTCCCCAATCCCTTTCACATTTGTGAATAAAATATGTTTAAATCAGAGGCCGCACTCCCAGAGGTTCCAGAGGAACTAGACGTTGATATCTGGAGTCTTCCACCCCCAGCCGTTCCTGTAAAACCATCAACAGTGGGTGGACGTCTACAAAGGTACTGGAAAAATTGTGGAATACTAGAGGACGACTATGTCTCCCAAGTACTACGAGAAGGATACAGAGTACAACTCAAGGCCACACCTCCCCTAACCCTCAGCCCGATGGTCTTCGACTATGCAGAGGAGCAGGCAGACAAAAAACAAGAAGCCATCAACTCACTACTTATGAAGGAGGCGGTAGAGATAATAGATCAGCATCATCTCACTCCAGGCTTCTACTCCCCAAATTTTCTAATACCCAAGAAGAACTCCAAGGAGAAGTTCAGACTGATTTACAACATGCGCAAATTCAACAAAAACTATCTTCTGAAACCAGACACGTTCAGAATGATCCACCTACCTCAACTCAGACTACTCATTCGTCCAGCAGATTACATGGCCAGCATAGACCTGCAGGATGCGTACCTACACATCCCCATACATCTGGAATCAAGAAAGCATCTAAGATTCCTATTCAGAGGGCAGCACTTCCAATGGAACGTCCTACCGTTTGGGATATCTTCGGCTCCGTGGCTATTCACACGAGTAACCAAGCCTATAGTTGCATATCTACATCATCGACGTCTACGCAATGCCTTCTACTTGGACGACGGAATTCAGGTTCACCAAGATGCCAGTCAACTCAGACTACAACTGAACTTCACGATCAAATTGCTCACTCAACTAGGATGGCTGGTGAACCTTATGAAGTCAGAGTTGGAACCAAAACAAGATTTTCTGGGGATAAGGTTTATCACAACACAGAATCGTATTGTCGTCCCAGAAGATCGTTGGGTCAAGATACAAGCCATGATTCCACCAGCAGTCATCTCTCCGTTAACACTACAATCATGGCAAGTTCTACTAACCTCGGTGCAGGACTCGCACAGGAAGGTTACAACTAAGACTGCTGCACGCTGCAATGGTTCCAGACAAAACATCTAGATAGCGTCTACCCAATCTTGCTGCCAGACAACCTCAGGAGGTATCTACTGTGGTGGACACACAGGTCAAACGTTTGCGGAGGGACCTATTTACAAGAGCCGGCCTTCGATACAAGGCTGGGGTGCGCATCTCAACAATCAAGTTGCATCAGGAAGGTGGGCCAAAATAGAGCAGCATCTTCACATCAATCTGCTGGAGATGAAAGCCGTGATCAACGCCTTACAACTATGGTCAAGCTCACTGAACAACAAAATGCTGATGGTCCACACGGACAACTCTACAGTGGCATACTCCATAAATCGGCAAGGATCCACAAAGTCTCCAAGCCTATTGCAGCTCACATTCCAGTTGTTCCAGATGACACAGGAAGCAAACATCTGGATAAAGGCGTGTCACGTACCCGGAGCCAAGAACGTACTGGCAGACGCTCTCTCACGACCACTACACCCGTCACCTACGGAATGGATGCTCCATCCAAATAGGATCCCCTTGCATAGACCTGTTTGCCACGAGGTTCAACAAACAACTACAGACGTTTGTCTCACCAGTTCCAGATCACCAAGCCTGGGCAACAGATGCACTGAGCATATCATGGGAAGGACTAAACGCTTCCAACCCCGATATTACTACCGGAAGTACTGCTGAAGATCAAACAGACACAGGCGCTACAACTGACTTTGGTCGCGCCATACTGGCCAGCGAGAGTATGGTTCCTAGACCTAATAGAAGATCTCGGAAGTCCAACAATCAAGTTACCAGATTGGCCGAACCTACTCATACATCCGCACACCAAGCAAGTCCACGGGGACCCGACAGCGTTCCAGCTACACGTGTGGACCGTATAAAAACATGTTTGAAGAAAAGAGGATACTCCGCCAGGGCAGGCAAGGCAGTAACGCTAGTGTTACGCAGATCTACTGGTAACCTGTATGATGACAAGTGGCTGAAGCAAGGCGGAAAGGGTTCATTGCGATGAAAGCTACTCATCCTCAAGTGGCGGAATACCTGTGTCATCTTAGAAAGACCAGACATCTGAAAGGTTCGCCATTATCTACATATCTAGCCGCCATCAGTGCAGTGATTACCATGAAAACAGGCATCAAGTTGACGAAAGTACCAGAATTACTTGCTCTGCTGAGATCTTTTATACTGGAGGACCAGCAAAAGAAGTTATCTAGTATTAAGAAGATACTAAATTATCTATAGCCACATGAATCAACATGATACAACTTGTCTGAGACTGAAGTAAGACAAGAAAGTGGTTACTCTCTTTTTCCCCCCCCCCCAAGTTATAACAGAAGTTCAGAAGAATAGGATCACGGAAATGCTGTTTTGCAGTTCGGGAATACAGGACATATCTAAGGACAGCTGATGAATCCATGAAGTGGCTTGACCCACACCAATTCGTCGGATTCTATAAGCAAAAGATCATGAGTCAGGATAAGAAAAAAAAAATGTAATTTTTCATGTAAAAATGATATTTTTATACTTATCCTGACTCATGATGAGAAGCCCTCCCAACCTCCCCGCTGGAAACACTTCGGATTTCACAGCAGATCCAAGTGCATGGGCAGAAAATCAGGAGAGAGTGACAAGTAAGGCTGGTCACATTATTTTATTTATTTACTCACATGATGAGTCAGGATACGTATAAAAATATCAATTTTACTTGATAAATTACATTATTGTATGCAATTTGGTCGGTACTAGAGACTACAATAACAGCCTGTGTTTGGTATACCATATTGTCAGCAACACATCTCCCTCTTTGGTTTCATCATTGTTTGTGCTGATACATGCTTCCCTGATACAGAGAGCTGATGTTACAACATCCAGACAACCTGCGTATCGTCCTGACACACACCATCTACAACGAGTTGTCCCAGACCCGCAATCCGAACAACATGTCCCTTGTGGCCGTCACATTCCAGATCTCTCCTGAACCTGCAGCCAAGGTGGGTCCATGATTCAAAGATGTACGTCTGAACCTGATGCCAAGGTGGGTACCTGATTCATAGATGTACTTCTAAACCTGATGCCTAGGTGGGTCCATGATTCAAAGATGTACGTCTGAACCTGATGCCAAGGTGGGTACCTGATTCATAGATGTACTTCTAAACCTGATGCCTAGGTGGGTCCATGATTCATAGATGTACGTCTGAACTTGCAGCCAAGGTGGGTCCATGATTCATGGATGTACGTCTGAACCTGCAGCCATGGTGGGTACCTGATTCATAGATGTACTTCTAAACCTGATGCCATGGTGGGTACCTGATTCATAGATGTACGTCTGAACCTGCAGCCAAGGTGGGTCCATGATTCATAGATGTACGTCTGAACCTGATGCCAAGGTGGGTCCATGATTCATGGATGTACATCTGAACTTGCAGCCAAGGTGAGTCCATGATTCAAAGATGTACGTCTGAACCTGATGCCAAGGTGGGTACCTGATTCATAGATGTACGTCTGAACCTGATGCCAAGGTGGGTCCATGATTCATGGATGTACATCTGAACTTGCAGCCAAGGTGGGACCATGATTCATATATGTACGTCTGAACCTGCAGCCATGGTGGGTCCCTGATTCATAGATGTACTTCCGAACCTCATGCCTAGGTGGGTCCATAATTCATAGATGTACGTCTGAACCTGCAGCCATGGTGGGTCCATGATTCATAGATGTACGTCTGAACCTGATGCCAAGGTGGGTCCATAAATCATCTTGAAGATGTGTAATGTAATGAAGGACACCTAGTTTGTTCAGATGAATAATTCAAGAGACTTTTATCAAAGGTTTAGAGGTTATATGTGCCGTACTTGTGTCATACTGACCACTGGTTCTGTATTTATCTATGTGATAAACAACCACCAAAACCTTTCCTTAATGCAACACAAGTAATCTACATATGCTTTTGAGTTTAATTTCACATTTGTTGGCCATTGAGGGTATTTGAATTCACTATACGATTGTATGCTGGTTCAGATATTATAGGAAGACACCATCAGTTTGGCAATTAGTAATTCATTCTGTACATGCACAATAATATAATATACTACATCACACCATACATATGTGTGTCTTCTATGTGCAGATCCTGGCAGAAATATTCCAGGATTTGTTGGCTAACAAGGATGATTACCTGCGAGCCCTACGAGCGCTGTTGCGGGAGATTGTTCGTACACTTCGACATGACATGAACTTCACTGCCTTCTGTCTGGGGCTCATGCAGGAGAGGTCAGAGGCAAAGTTCACTGACCTTGAACCAGCATTTAAGGTGTGTTAATCATTTACATAAATACTGTGGCCCTTTGTTTATCATATATACAAATACTGTGGCTGTTTGTTTGGGCTTGAAAGTATTGACAAGATTCAATAATAGCAGTGAAAGGTGAAAGAAAGATGTTATTGGCATCAGTGTTAATTGGTTCTCTAGTACTGTCAGAGATGTATTGTCATACTATCAGAGCTATAGAATCATACTGTCAGAGCTGTACTGTCATACTGTCAGAGCTGTAGTGTCATCCTGCCAGAGATGTATTGTCATACTGTCAGAGCTATAGGGTCATACTGTCAGAGCTGTACTGTCATACTGGCAGAGCTGTACTGTCATACTGTCAGCTGTAGTGTCATACTGCCAGAGATGTAGTGTCATACTGTCAGAGTTGTAGTGTCATACTACCATAGATGTATTGTCATACACTCAGAGCTGTGTCATCCTGCCAGAGCTGTAGTCATACTGTCAGAGCTGCATTGTCATACTGTCAGAGCTGTAGTGTCATACTGCCAGAGCTGTAGTGTCTAACTGTCAGAGATGTAGTGTCATACTGTCAGAGCTGTAGTGTCATACTGTCAGAGCTGTAGTGTCATACTGTCAGAGCTGTTGTGTCATATTGCCAGAGTTGTAGTGTCTGTCAGAGATGTAGTGTCATACTGTCAGAGCTGTAGTGTCATACTGTCAGAGCTGTAGTGTTATACTATCAGAGCTGTACTGTCATATTGCCAGAGATGTATTGTCATACACTCAGAGCTGTAGTGTTATACTGTCAAAGCTGTAGTGTCATACTACCAGAGATATGTTGTCATACTGTCAGAGCTGTAGTATTATACTATCAGAGCTGTAGTGTCATACTGTCAGAGCTGTAGTGTCATACTGTCAGAGCTGTAATGTTATACTATCAGAGCTGTACTGTCATATTGTCAGAGATGTAGTGTTATACTGTCAGAGCTGTAGTGTCATACTGTCAGAGCTGTAGTGTCATAACTGCCAGAGCTGTAGTGTCTAACTGTCAGAGATGTAGTGTCATACTGTCAGAGCTGTAGTGTCATACTGTCAGAGCTGTAGTGTCATACTGTCAGAGCTGTTGTGTCATATTGCCAGAGTTGTACTGTCTGTCAGAGATGTAGTGTCATGCTGTCAGAGCTGTAGTGTCATATTGCCAGAGATGTAATGTTATACTGTTAGAGCTGTAGTGTCATACTGTCAGAGCTGTAGTGTCATACTGTCAGAGATGAAATGTCATATTGCCAGAGATGTAATGTTATACTGTCAGAGCTGTAGTGTCATACTGTCAGAGCTGTAGTGTCTAACTGTCAGAGATGTAGTGTCATACTGTCAGAGCTGTAGTGTCATACTGTCAGAGCTGTAGTGTCATACTGTCAGAGCTGTAGTGTCATATTGCCAGAGTTGTAGTGTCTGTCAGAGATGTAGTGTCATACTGTCAGAGCTGTAGTGTCATACTGTCAGAGCTGTAGTGTTATACTATCAGAGCTGTACTGTCATATTGCCAGAGATGTATTGTCATACACTCAGAGCTGTAGTGTTATACTGTCAAAGCTGTAGTGTCATACTACCAGAGATATGTTGTCATACTGTCAGAGCTGTAGTATTATACTATCAGAGCTGTAGTGTCATACTGTCAGAGCTGTAGTGTCATACTGTCAGAGCTGTAATGTTATACTATCAGAGCTGTACTGTCATATTGTCAGAGATGTAATGTTATACTGTCAGAGCTGTAGTGTCATACTGTCAGAGCTGTAGTGTCATACTGCCAGAGCTGTAGTGTCTAACTGTCAGATGTAGTGTCATACTGTCAGAGCTGTAGTGTCATACTGTCAGAGCTGTTGTGTCATATTGCCAGAGTTGTACTGTCTGTCAGAGATGTAGTGTCATGCTGTCAGAGCTGTAGTGTCATATTGCCAGAGATGTAATGTTATACTGTTAGAGCTGTAGTGTCATACTGTCAGAGCTGTAGTGTCATACTGTCAGAGATGAAATGTCATATTGCAGAGATGTAATGTTATACTGTCAGAGCTGTAGTGTCATACTGTCAGAGATGTAGTGTCATACTACCAGAGATGTATTGTCATACACTCAGAGCTGTATTGTCATACTGTCAGAGCTGTAGTGTCATACTACCAGAGATGTATTGTCATACACTCAGAACTGTAGTGTCATACTGTCAAAGCTGTAGTGTCGTACTACCAGAGATGCATTGTCATACACTCAGAGATGTATTGTCATACACTCAGAGCTGTAGTGTCATGCTGTCAGAGCTGTAGTGTCATACTGTCAGAGATGTAGTGTCATACTGTCAGAGATGTAGTGTCTGTCAGAGCTGTAGTGTCATACTGTCAGAGTTGTAGTGTCTGTCAGAGCTGTTGTGTCATATTGCCAGAGTTGTAGTGTCTGTCAGAGCTGTAGAGTCATACTGTCAGAGTTGTAGTGTCTGTCAGAGCTGTTGTGTCATATTGCCGGAGTTGTAGTGTCTGTCAGAGCTGTACTGTCATACTGTCAGAGCTGTACTGTCATACTGTCAGAGATGTAGTGTCTGTCAGAGCTGTACTGTCATACTGTCAGAGTTGTAGTGTCTGTCAGAGCTGTTGTGTCATATTGCCAGAGTTGTAGTGTCTGTCAGAGCTGTACTGTCATACTGTCAGAGCTGTAGTGTCATACTGTCAGAGATGTAGTGTCTGTCAGAGCTGTTGTGTCATATTGCCAGAGTTGTAGTGTCTGTCAGAGCTGTTGTGTCATATTGCCAGAGTTGTAGTGTCTGTCAGAGCTGTAGTGTCATACTGTCAGAGTTGTAGTGTCTGTCAGAGCTGTAGTGTCATACTGTCAGAGCTGTAGTGTCATACTGTCAGAGATGTATTGTTATACTGTCAGAGATGTAGTGTCATACTGTCAGAGCTGTAGAGTCATATTGCCAGAGATGTAGTGTCATACTATCAGAGCTGTAGAGTCATACTGTCAGAGCTGTAGAGTCATACTGTCAGAGCTGTAGTCATACTGTCAGAGATGTAGTGTCATACTGTCAGAGCTGTAGTGTCATACTGCAAGACCTGTAGTGTCATACTGTCAGAGCTGTATTGTCATACTGTCAGAGCTGTATTGTCAAACTGTCAGAGCTGTAGTGTCATACTGTCAGAGCTGTTGTGTCATATTGTCAGAGATGTAATGTTATACTGTCAGAGATGTAGTGTCATACTGTCAGAGCTGTAGAGTCATACTGTCAGAGCTGTAGGTGTCATACTGCCAGAGATGTAGTGTCATACTGCCAGAGATGTATTGTTATACTGTCAGAGCTGTAGTGTCATACTGTCAGAGATGTAGTGTCATATTGTCAGAGCTGTATTGTCATATTGTCAGTTGAGATTGATGGTAAGGGACCCTTCATAAGTTATGGTTATGGGGGGGTGCTGATGATTTTTATGGAGAAGCATGTACAATGTGAATGACCCCCCTAAAATATATGTACAAATTAAGTGACCCCCCTGCATGTCATGTACAAAATCAATGTCCCACTCTGTCTACAGGAGAGGTTTGTGATGTCGATCGCAGACCTCATCACTCTCAGTGTGCTGATGGGCATCACTCCGGGAGTCCGGGAGGCGGTAGCATCACTCTCCAGGGGAGAACACAAAGGTGGGATATTCCTTCTTATTGTTGTCCTTGTCTTTTATCACTTCAAAAAAACATGCAAAAAATGCAAAATGTGAAAATCATTACATGGATATTGCATCCAGAACAAACTGTTAACCTCATTTGAACTTGTTTTCCAGACCTGGAGACCTTGCAGCAGTTCAAACAACAGGTTGCCATTATACAGCGTGACGCCATCTGGTGGCTGCACACAGTTGTTCCCAAGGCCATGGACGTATAAAGGCTGCAGAGTATGTTCACTGGTGAGTTGAAGGTGTACAACAGGATTTGCATATAGAAAAGGTTTAGTCCGGTAACAAATGAAAATTGTTAGTTATATACCGAGGTCAATAAGGAAAATATCACACGCTCTTTCATAAGAATTAAGACATTATATCTGCGAAATGTTTGCACTCTCTATTATGCATGACTTTAGAATATCATAAAAAGTTTAATTGTTTTGTTGGAATCAAATATGATGATGAGTAATAATCTGGGTCTATCATTCTGTGTATTCAGGGGCTGTCAGTATATGTTTGTAATACTCAACATGTCTTATAATCATGTCCTGAGTCATCCACTTGTCATACTGTTTTATCTTGTTGAAAATCTTTTGAATACAACATGAAATAAATTACTTTGGTGTACAAACATGTGCCATGACTAATGACCTTTTTGCAGTCTGCACAAGGTGTTGTTCATGGAGGAGGCCCAACATTACTATAACAAGGACAACTGGCCGACCGAGGGAGACCGCACGTGAGTAGTGGCGGAAGTGTTGGAGGGTGAAACAAGGGGAAGGGGAGTGTGGGCGAGTGTACTATAACAAGGACAACTGGCCGACCGAGGGTGACCACACGTGAGTAGTGGCGGAAGTGTTGGAGGGGAAACAAGGGGAGGGGACTGTGGGCGAAAGTACTATATAACAAGGACAACTGGTCACCGAGGGAGACCGCACGTGAGTAGTGGCGAAGTGTTGGAGGGTAAAACAAGGGGAGGGGACTGTGGGCGAAGTGTACTATAACAAGGACAACTGGTCACCGCCCGAGGAGACCGCACGTGAGTAGTGGCGGAAGTGTTGGAGGGGGAAACAAGGGGAAGGGGAGTGTGGGCGAGTGTACTATAACAAGGACAACTGGCCGCCCGAGGGAGACCGCACGTGAGTAGTGGCGGCAGTGTTGGAGGGTGAAACAAGGGGAGGGGGACTGTGGGCGAGTGTACTATAACAAGGACAACTGGCCGACCGAGGGAGACCGCCCGCGGAGTAGTGGCGAGCATTGTTGAGGGGAAACAAGGGGAGGGGAGTGTGGGCGAAAGTGTACTATAACAAGGACAACTGGCCGCCGAGGGAGACCGCGACGATGAGTAGTGGCGAAGTGTTGGAGGGGAAACAAGGGGAGGGGGACTGTGGGCGAAAGTGTACTATAACAAGGACAACTGGAGCCGAGGGAGACCAGCCGCGTGAGTAGTGGCGGCAGTGTTGGAGGGTGAAACAAGGGAGGGGACTGTGGGCGAAAGGTACTATAACAAGGGACAACTGGTCACCGAGGGAGACCGCCCGTGAGTAGTGGCGGCATTGTTGGAGGGGGAAACAAGGGAGGGGAGTGTGGGCGAAAGTGTAAATACTATAACAAGGACAACTGGCCGCCGAGGGAGACCGCACGGAGTAGTGGCGGAAGTGTTGGAGGGGAAACAAGGGGAGGGGAGGGTGTGGGCGAAAGTGTACTATAACAAGGACAACTGGCCGAGGGAGACCCGATCGGAGTAGTGGCGGCAGTGTTGGAGGGTGAAACAAGGGGAGGGGGACTGTGGGCGAGTGTACTATAACAAGGACAACTGGCCGCCCGAGGGAGACCGCACGTGAGTAGTGGCGAAGTGTTGGAGAATTGAAGAAACAAGGGAGGGGACTGGGCGAGCGTGTAACTATAACAAGGACAACTGGCCGCCTGAGGGAGACCGCATCGACGTAGAGTAGTGGCGGAAGTGTTGGAGGGGAAACAAGGGGGAGGGAGTGTGGGGGCAAGTGTAACTATAACAAGGACAACTGGGTCACCGAGGAGACCGCAAGACGTGAGTAGTGGCGGAAGTGTTGAGGGGAAACAAGGGGAGGGGGGACTGTGGGCGAAAGTGTACTATAACAAGGACAACTGGCCGCCGAGAGGAGACCGCACGGAGTAGTGGCGAGGAAGTGTTGGAGGGAAACAAGGGAGGAGGGGGAGTGGGCGAGAGTGTACTATAACAAGGACAACTGGTCAGCCGAGGGAGAGACCGCGCGTGAGTAGTGGCGGCAGTGTTGAGGAGGGGAAACAAGGGAGGGGACTGTGGGCGAAAGTGTACTATAACAAGGACAACTGGCGCCTGAGGGAGACCGCGACATGAGTAGTGGCGGAAGTGTTGGTGGGTGAAACAAGGGGAGGGGGACTGTGGGCGAAAGTGTACTATAACAAGGACAACTGGTCAGCCCGAGGAGACCGCAGACGTGAGTAGTGGCGGAAGTGTTGGAGGGTGAAACAAGGGGAGGGGGACTGTGGGAAGAAAGTGTACTATAACAAGGGACAACTGGCCGCCCGAGGGTGACCGCACGTGAGTAGTGGCGGAAGTGTTGGAGGGTGAAACAAGGGGAGGGGGACTGTGGGCGAGTGTACTATAACAAGGACAACTGGCTTCCGAGGGTGACCGCGTGAGTAGTGGCGGAAGTGTTGGAGGTGAAACAAGGGGAGGGGGACTGTGGGCGAGTGTACTATAACAAGGACAACTGGCCGCCCGAGGGAGACCGCACGTGAGTAGTGGCGGAAGTGTTGGAGGGTGAAACAAGGGGGAGGGGGACTGTGGGCGAGTGTACTATAACAAGGACAACTGGCTTCCCGAGGGTGACCGCCCGTGAGTAGTGGCGGCAGTGTTGGAGGGTGAAACAAGGGGAGGGGGAGTGTGGGCGAGTGTACTATAACAAGGACAACTGGCCGACCGAGGGAGACCGCACGTGAGTAGTGGCGGCAGTGTTGGAGGGTGAAACAAGGGGAGGGGGACTGTAGGCGAGTGTACTATAACAAGGACAACTGGTCGCCCGAGGGAGACCGCACGTGAGTAGTGGCGGAAGTGTTGGAGGGTGAAACAAGGGGAGGGGACTGTGGGCGAAAGTGTACTATAACAAGGACAACTGGTCACGTGGAGAGACCGCGGACGTGAGTAGTGGCGAATGCATTGTTGGAGGGTGAAACAAGGGGAAGGGGACTGTAGGCGAGTATGCTATAACATAGGGCTACCCTCGGGAAGAGTGAGTTTAGTTTTACGCCGCTTTAGCAATATTCCAGCAAAATCATGGCAGGGGACACCAGAAATGGGCTTTACACATTGTACCCATGTGGGAACTCGAACTTGGGTCTTTGCCCTCAGGAAGAACCCTTGTCAGTATAGGCATCCGAGTGGGACGGAAATACTGTTAAAGTGGTATGGGGCCAAACACACTCACTCACTCACTCTTCTCATCACAGGTTTGAAATGAAAGTGTTTCCTGTAAGTGGATATTGAAAACGTTTTCCTCTGGGTCGACTACTGCCTGCCATGATAACCATGTTGACACATCTGGCACTGCAGGATGATGCTGCGACTGGCGGCGGAGGTGCCTGTGATGGAGGACTCCCTGATGCGGGTCCTGCTGATTGGCTTGTCCCGGGAACTGCCTCTCAGTGCTGCTGATGCTGTGGAGCTGGCAGACCAGCTCATCCGGCGGGCAGCCCCTCTGTACCTCGGAGGTCAGTCCAGCCATTTAGCATGCATAGCTTTATCATTTCATTTTGTAAGATCAAAAAATATTTTCATTTGATTATATCAACCTGCAACTTCAAATATGAAATAAGTGTATTTGAAAGAACACACTCTGAAATATGTTGTTATTGAGCAAACTACCCAGTGTATTGCTTGGTCCTGCAGACACCAAGGTTTTGTGAGATGTGAGTTGAATCCCTTTCCAAAGCACCATAAACTTTGTACCATGTCAGAATTCTGGAGCAGCAATAGCTTGATGGAAATTTACACAGATTTGCAGCTGTGTTTTACACCACAAAGAGTGTTGTATTTTACATCAGGCATGTTGTACATGACAGAGGGTGTGTTGTACTTTACATCAGGTATGTTGTACACCACAAAGAGTGTGTTGTACTTTACAGCAGGTATGTTGTACACGACAGTGGATGTGTTGTACTTTACAGCAGGTATGTTGTACACCACAAAGACTGTTGTATTTTACAGCAGGTATGTTGTACATGACAGAGGGTGTGTTGTACTTTACACAGCAGGTATGACAGAGGGTTGTTGTACTTTACACAGGTATGTTGACAGAGTGTGTTGTATTTTACAACAGGCATGTTGTACATGACAGAGGGTGTGTTGTATCAGGTATGTTTTACAGCAGGTATGTATGTTGTACACCACACCACAGGGGATGTGTTGTATTTTTCAGCAGGTACATGTTGTACATGACAGAGGGTGTGTTGTACTTTACAGCAGGTACATCAGGATTATGTTGTACACAACAGAGTGGTGTGTGTTGTGTTTTACAGCAGGTATGTTGTACATGACAGAGGGGGTGTTGTACTTTACAGCAGGTATGTTGTACGACGACAGAGGGTGTGTTGTACTTTACAGCAGGTATGTTGTACACCACAAAGACAGAGGGTTGTTGTACAAAGAGTGTTGTATTTACATCAGGTATGCTGTACCGCGACAGAGGATGTGTTGTATTTTTCAGCAGGCACGGGTATGCAGGTTCTGCAGGTGTTGAGACTGGAGCTAATTGATGCCCTTCTTAACCTGTGTGCTTACAGACACCCAGAGAACATCGGCCTTCCTAAAGGGTGAGTGGGAGGTGTTAGTGTTAAGCTTAATGGGTGTTTTAAGTGACAGGTTCCTCTTCAGGGTATGACTTAAAGATTTGTGTATTTAGTGGCCCAATGTGATTTGTACCATTGTGTCTCTCCTAATGGTCTGTCCCTAATGTGATCTGTACCTCCTATTGTGCCCCTGATGATGGTCTGTACATAGAAGTGTGATCTGTACCTCCTATTGTGCCCCTGATAATGGTCTGTACATAGTAAGATGTGTGATCTGTACCTCCTATTGTGCCCCCTGATGGTCTGTACCTCCTATTGTGCCCCTGATAATGGTCTGTACATAGAAGTGTGATCTATACCTCCTATTGTGCCCCTGCTGATGGTCTGTACATAGAAATGTGATCTGTACCTCCTATTGTGCCCCTGATAATGGTCTGTACATAGAAGTGTGATCTGTACCTCCTATTGTGCCCCTGATGATGGTCTGTACATAGTAATGTGATCTGTACCTCCTATTGTGCCCCTGATAATGGTCTGTACATAGAAGTGTGATCTATACCTCCTATTGTGCCCCTGCTGATGGTCTGTACATAGTAATGTGATCTGTACCTCCTATTGTGCCCCTGATAATGGTCTGTACATAGAAGTGTGATCTATACCTCCTATTGTGCCCCTGCTGATGGTCTGGTACATAGTAATGTGATCTGTACCTCCTATTGTGCCCCTGCTGATGGTCTGTACATAGAAGTGTGATCTGTACCTCCTGTTGTACCCCTGCTAATGGTCTGTACATAGAAGTGTCATCTGTACCTCCTATTGCACCCCTGCTAATGGTCTGTACATAGTAATGTGATCTATACCTCCTATTGTGCCCCTGATGATGGTCTGTACATAGTAATGTGATCTGTACCTCCTATTGTGCCCCTGATGATGGTCTGTACATAGAAGTGTGATCTATACCTCCTATTGTGCCCCTGCTGATGGTCTGTACATAGTAATGTGATCTATACCTCCTATTGTGCCCCTGCTAATGGTCTGTACATAGAAGTGTGATCTATACCTCCTATTGTGCCCCTGCTGATGGTCTGTACATAGTAATGTGATCTGTACCTCCTATTGTGCCCCTGCTAATGGTCTGTACATAGTAATGTGATCTGTACCTCCTATTGTGCCCCTGCTAATGGTCTGTACATAGAAGTGTGATCTGTACCTCCTATTGGACCCCTGCTAATGGTCTGTACATAGTAATGTGATCTGTACCTCCTATTGTGCCCCTGATGATGGTCTGTACATAGTAATGTGATCTATACCTCCTATTGTGCCCCTGATGATGGTCTGTACATAGTAATGTGATCTATACCTCCTATTGTGCCCCTGCTGATGGTCTGTACATAGTAATGTGATCTATACCTCCTATTGTGCCCCTGCTGATGGTCTGTACATAGTAATGTGATCTATACCTCCTATTGTGCCCCTGCTAATGGTCTGTACATAGAAGTGTGATGTGATCTATACCTCCTATTGTGCCCCCTGATGTACATGGTCTGTACATAGTAGTGTGATCTATACCTCCTATTGTGCCCCTGATGATGGTCTGTTCTAGCTCCCCTCCCCTGTTTCAGGTACCAGCCCCCTACTCTGGCCATATCCGCTCTGTACTGGAAGGCCTGGACGATGCTGGTAGTCATCAGTGCTTTCAACCCCAGTACATTTGGTAAGTGGACCTTCCACACATGTTACATGTTAAAATATAACTGTCGATGGTGGAGGATATATGGACAGTTTGAACTTGAATCTATTTCATTGTGTGTCTTCTCAGAAAAACATGTCTGTAAAATTACTGATTCAAACTTTACCTTCCATTTGACCCATGAGAAACCTTCATGCTCTGATGTTTGCTTTATATTTCATTTGTTTTCATCATTATATTGTGTAAGTTTGTTGTTTTGGCCTACAGAATGTGGATAGGGCTGTTACCTCATGTCAGTTGACAAGGAATTCTGATATCTGGAAACTTATTTATCTATACAATGTTTGGGAGAACAAGATTCAACTGTACAGTGATAGTGTGATAACACAGACCCATGTAAACTGATGTAATTGTCCATGTGAATGATGATGTGAGTCGGTATATATTGACAGGTCTCTCAGCATGGGAAAACTACCCAACTCTGAAGTGTCTGATGGAGATGGCCATGACAAAGTGAGTAGCATTCTCCAGCACCATCCCCGATTACACACCTCAGCTGTTGCTGGTCCAGACCTTGCATGTCACCATAAGATGCCATGTTTCTGTATTCACCGACAGTGTTGGTCCATCACTCCAAACTAATTTATGTTGCTTTGGATGAACAATAACAAGAAAGAGTCAGTGTATAGCCATGTGGAATATTCATTGTCATTCATTCAAGGGGCGGTGGGGTAGCCTAATGGTTAAATCGCCCGCTTGCCACGCTGAAGACCCAGGTTTGATTCGCCACATGGGTACAATGTGTGAAGCCTATTTCTGGTGGTTTCCCCTGCCGTGGTATTGCTGGAATATTGCTAAAAGCATACTCCCTCACTCACTCACTCACTCACTCACTCACTCACTCAACTTACATTGATTCACTCAGCAAAGCAAGGGCATTGGTGGCTCAGTACGGAGTTATTTCGGTGTGCGGAGTTATTTCCCTTGAGCATGTCAAAACATGTGATTGTGGGCTTGAATCCTGTTTTGCCCCATTTGTGTTGTTTCATTTTCTTTCCGCATGATACTAGTGCACATGGTTTTCAAGATAGTGGTAAATGTCTGACACCTACATCGCTTCAGGCATTCTTCCCACATTAAGCTATCATGCCATGACAGAAATGGAATGCCATTAAACCCAATTCACTCACTCACTCACTCACTCAGCAAAGCAATATACAAGTCACTGACATAAGAGAATTCATGTCTGCGTTACAGCAACTTCAAGTTCCCTCCGCCAACCACGGCAACTGATGATAAGGTGATTGATGAGATCAAGAACCGGGAGCGTCAGATTGCACAGCAGGAGGTGCAGCAGATACTTGAGTTTGAGAGCCACCTGGCTGCCGCCACCAGCAAAGTGACCATCACAGAGGCCAACAGTCTTCTCCTTGACCAAGCTTACCACCATGGACCCCAAGTAGGTAGTCTAGGGGCAGACAACTGCACAGGCAACTGTCTGGAAGGTTCACTGTGTTTCATCAATAGAACAGCAGGATATTTTACTGAGTTGTGGAAAATGTATTGTCTGTTTTGTGAATACAAAATGTGCATTTTTAGTCTTTCTTAGAAGTGCTCATCTAATGTATTACTTCCAAAATTTTGCAAGACAATTTTGGAAATCAACTAGGTTGTCTCCATCGTTCTGTGGTAGCTAAGGTGAAGGTTTACCTCAGATGCTGTGAGTGGCAAGTTGATTGTCCTTGATACAAAGAGATCTGGGTTAGAATTGATCTTCAGTAACCCTTGATTGGGTAGTCAGGCTCGCTGACTTGGTTCACACAGGTCATTGCATCCCAGCTGCGTAGATCAATGCTCATGCTTTTGATCACTGGATTTTCTGGTCCAGACTCGATTATTTTCAGACCACCGCCATACAGCTGAAATATTGCTGACTGCAGCGTAAAACTAAAATCACTCACTCACTCTTTGAGGGTGATTGGGTAGCCTAATGGTTAAAGCGTTCACTCATCATGCCGAAAACCCGGGTTTAATTCCCCACATGGGTAAAATGTATGAAGCCCATTTCAGGTGTCCCCCGGCTTGATATTGCTGGAATATTGCTAAAATCGGCGTAAAACTAAACTCACTCACTCCTCGATACAAAGACATCCTCATAACACTGTCAGTGGCTATCCTTTCCACAGTGGTATTGCGCGATGTCCCCCAGCCAAAGTGCTGGACCAGATGTCCAGTCTGTGCAACACCCTTAAGGTCGGTCAGATGCTGTGTCGGAGCCGGAATCCTGACTTCCTACTGGACATCATACAAAGACAGGTGCGTACAGGGGAGACTACTCTGGCTGGGAGGACTTGAATCTAGTTTCTGTCACACCATGTTAAATTCAAAACAGATCAGTATTTGAAGCAGTCTCATTGTCACACACATAGCAGCAGATATAACAGTTACTGGGCCAAGCAAGGGATGTAAGAAATTCATTACAGATGTGTCAGTTTAGCACTTAATTTGCTTAATGGATTTCATAACTACACTGTTTCTTTTTTGAGTGGCAATTAGAATCTGATATGATGAACAGGAACAATGTTTTATGTATAGACAACTTCAAGTGATACTTAACAATGGTGTTAGCATCTAAACTAAAACATGATGCGACATTTTGGTGTACTGGTAGATGCTAACACCGTTATCAAGCAAGTGGTTCCTGATAGCATCTACACCGAAGCCTCACATACATGAAGAAGTTGTCTAGCCGTAAAACAACATTCCTGTACACTGTAGTTGGTTAGGTGACTGTACACAGTAGTTGGTTAGGTGACTGTACACTGTAGTTGCTTAGGTGACTGTACACAGTAACAGTGGTTTCTGGCTCAAGTGTTTTTCAATCAGTTTGTCAAAAAGGACACATTTCTTTCATGGAATATGTGGAAATAGATCACATTTGCATTTTGTTGATGTGGATGGTGTTGCAGGGGACGTCCCAGTCCATGCCGTGGCTGGCGGAGCTGGTGGAGTCGAGTGAGGGCTCCTTGGACGTGCTGCCTATCCAGTGTTTGTGTGAGTTCCTGCTGCATGAGCCGCCCGAGTCCACCGACACAGGGGACTCCGACGTCATCAAAGCCGAGAAGTACAGGAGGAAAGAGGTAGGCAGGAGCTTCCAGCAGACAGTTTGTAGATGTGCATATATCTGACAAGTACCTTAAACTGATCGGGACTTTTACTTTTCTGTCAGTGTTTCATGTAACAAATTTATCACCATGAGTAATTAAGTAAAATAGTTCCTATCTTGTGAACAGCAGATTCTTACTGTGGTATCTCGAGTTCAACAAAGACTGTTATGTCATGATATCTCTCCACTCCAGAATGGGTGATTTGCAGGATGGCAACTGGCCAGTCACACAGTGAATATGAGAGTAATGCATACAGTATAGTTCATAAACAAAATTACATCTGATATACATAGAGTTTGAACAATTTCTGTCCTTCTCTTTTGGTAATATTGTTTGTTCTACTTCAGAAAAGGAAACCATAATTATGTAAATTGCTGGCCATGACCCCAAAATCACAATTTTCATGTGAACACTCAGTAGTGTGTAATATTTCACAATATGCAAAACAAGCACCTTTGTTAAATGTTTATATATCTGTTAAAGAAACTGAAGAAGCAGCGACAACTTCTGAGCCGCCTGCAGGAGATGGTGCATGGGACGTCCTCCGACTCATCAACAATGTTCCAGGTCCTTGACTACTTCCTCAAGCGGCTGTCTTCCACCCAGTCTGTGTCTCGATCTCAGGCCATCAAGGTAAGTCATGATTTTAGGGCAACTAGACATGACGAGACAAATGTAGACCATGTGAAAAGCCCATGAGATCCCACAAAGTCAGCTACTTGATGTGGATGATTTGTATTCTTTGAGTGGCATTTTTAGAAGTTGGAGAGTGAGATAAGGACAAACTTTGGGGATGAAGAACTTCTTTATTCAGGTGATGCAACCTTTCTATACATATTCTTGTATCGTTGTCAAGCAGGAGATAGGATTGGTCAGAAGTTGTCGCTTCTTGACAACAATTCTGTTTGTCCTCATGTGGATGACTTGGCCATAGTGGCCTCAAAGCGGGAAACAATTCAGTTGAGTCAATACTAATATTGTGTTTTAGACAGACATGGACACTGGCTGTAGTACTGTTGTCTGTTTCTAACCCTCTCTTACTTGTGTAACAGGGATTGTCGATGGTTGTGTCTAAGTCAGCCTCTAGTCCTGATGACAAGGAAGAAACCAAGATGGATGTTGATGGTGACAACAGAACCAACGATTGGCTGTTGAAGGATCTGCCATCCCTCCCGCTGTTCCAGGAGGTGAAAGGTCAAACTAGTATGGCACTTCGACAGGTATGTCTGCTTAACACCATGTTTTCTGTGGATGTGATTTTGTGTACAGTGTAGAATCTGTTTGATTGTTTTTTTCAGGTTGATTTCAGAAATGCTTTCCTTCATGTTGTGTATGAATATATACAGTTCTCAAAATAGTCTGATTATGATATTGTGTTAATAATTTGCCAGTCATGTCAAATAATGACAGATTCTTCACTGTTCCCCATGTAATTGTTCCCTGTACAACTGTTCCCCATGTAACTGCTCCCTGTACATCTGTTCCCCATGTAACTGATCCCTGTACAACTGTTCCCCATGTAACTGATACCTGTACAACTGTTCCCCATGTAACTGATCCCTGTACAACTGTTCCCCATGTAACCGATCCTGTACAACTGTTCCCCATAACAGATAACTGTATACCTGTACAATGTTCCCCATGTAACTGTTCCCTGTACAACTGTTCCCCATGTAATCGATCCCTGTACAACTGTTCCCCATGTAACCGATCCCTGTACAACTGTTCCCCATGTAACCGATCCCTGTACAACTGTTCCCCATGTAACTGATCCCTGTACAACTGTTCCCCATGTAATTGTTCCCTGTACAACTGTTCCCCATGTAATTGTTCTCTGTACAACTGTTCCCCATGTAACTGTTCCCTGTACAACTGTTCCCCATGTAACTGTTCTCTGTACAACTGTTCCCCATGTAACTGTTCCTGTACAACTGTTCCCCATGTAATTGTTCTCTGTACAACTGTTCCCCATGTAATTGTTCCCTGTACAACTGTTCCCCATGTAACTGTTCCCTGTACAAGCTGTTCCCCATGTAACCGATCCTGTACAACTGTTCCCCGATGTAACTGTTCCTGTACAACTGTTCCCCATGTAATTGATCCCTGTACAGCTGTTCCCCATGTAACAAGCTGTTGCCCCCCATTTGTTCCTGTACAACTGTTCCCTCATGTAACCCGATCCCTGTACAACTGTTCCCCATGTAATTGTTCTCTGTACAACTGTTCCCCATGTAACTGTTCTCTGTACAACTGTTCCCCATGTAACTGTTCCTGTACAACTGTTCCCCATGTAACTGATCCCTGTACAACTGTTCCCCATGTAACCCGATCCCTGTACAACTGTTCCCTAATGTAATTGATCCCTGTACAACTGTTCCCCATGTAACTGATCCCTGTACAACTGTTCCCTATAATAACCGATACCTGTACAACTGTTCCCATGTAACTGTTCCCTGTACAATGTAATTGATCCCTGTACAACTGTTCCCATGTAACTGTTCTCTGTACAACTGTTCCCCATGTAACTGTTCCCTGTACAACTGTTCCCCATGTAACTGTTCCCTGTACAACTGTTCCCCATGTAACTGTTCCCTGTACAACTGTTCCCATGTAACGATCCTGTTACAACTGTTCCCCATGTAACTGATCCCTGTACAGCTGTTCCCCCATGTAACTGTTCCTGTACAACTGTTCCCCATGTAACCGATCCTGTACAACTGTTCCCCATGTAACCGATCCTGTACAACTGTTCCCCATGTAATCCCTGTACAATCCCTGTACAACTGTTCCCCATGTAACAGATCCCTGTACAACTGTTCCCCATGTAACCGATCCCTGTACAACTGTTCCCCATGTAACCGATCCCTGTACAACTGTTGCCCATGTAATAGATACCTGTACAACTGTTCCCCATGTAACCGATCCCTGTACAACTGTTCCCCATGTAACTGATCCCTGTACAACTGTTCCCCATGTAATCGATCCCTGTACAACTGTTCCCCATGTAATTGATCCTGTACAACTGTTTCATGATGTAACTATATCCCTGTACAACTGTTCCCCATGTAACAGATCCCTGTACAACTGTTCCCCATGTAACCGATCCCTGTACAACTGTTCCCCATGTAACTGATCCCTGTACAACTGTTCCCCATGTAACTGATCCCTGTACAACTGTTCCCCATGTAATTGTTCCTGTACAGCTGTTCCCCATGTAATTGCTCCCTGTACAGCTGTTCCCCCTTTGGCTGTTTCATATAACATGTATTCCCTGTATAACCTCCCATGTGTTATTGATCCCATGGGCGGATCCAGGAATTTTGAAAGGAGGGGGTTCAGGGGGATTCGAACCCACTGAAACCCCCATTGGCTCCACCAACGCCAAAAAAATTCTTCAATGTGATCTTAAGTCATGTTCAAAAGGGGGGGGTGCGAACCCCCTGAACCGCCGCTCTGTATCCGCCACTGGATCCCACTACAACTATTCCCTACATAAGTGTATGTTGTATAAATCCACCCTGTCGACGTGTTCTGTTCCCCATACTCTCTGTGCTGAGTTCCCTATAAATCTTATCACGATGTAAGCATTCCCTCTCTGACTGGTGTGTTGTTACAGGCCTGCCAGATAGAGACGGATCCGAGTTTGGTCAGTTCCTACATCATCTTCCTGTCCCAGCATTCCCTGGACCAGAATCTCTATGACCTCGACAACCTGGCCTCTGTAAGTTCTACATCATTCATTATATACACTCTGCAAGACTTCTGCAGTCATTCTTGTAAGGCCATTTAATTTCTTAATTATTTATGACCATCAAGTCTGTTGAATTTGAAAATATTGCTGTAATGATACTCAGTGGGAATATTTGCAACATTGCATAGTGTAGTGTTATCACTGTCCAATCTTCACTGATACAGATATCTGTTGCTGATAGTTGCTTTACTTTGTTTAAGGATGTGGCTCAGCTGATAGTAGAGAGGACATCGGTGATCAACCACATCCTACCATGTGAGACCAACCCCTGGACACCATCGCAGGATGTCACCCTCGTCGCCCTCATCAGCCTTTATGTGAACTACCTCAAGAAGGCCCGGGAGCAAGGAGGGATGTGGTATTGTGAACAATCACAGGGTGTATACACCCTCATCAGACCTGGGGTACTTTACATGGGTTTTACATGGTATACTGTTGAACTACCTATAACTGTTGGGGTGTATACATGTATAGGGGGAGCCACACACATGGAGGCCTACATGTATACTGTTGGGGTATGTGGTATTGTATAACAATCTGTTGGGGTGTATACATGGGTGTATACATACCTTTTATATCATGACTGTTGTATACTGGTGTATACTTATAGTGTTATACAGTATACTGTTGGGGGTGTTTACACATGGTATACTGTTGGGTGTATGGGGTGTATACATAGTAGTATAGTGTTGGGGTGTATACATGTGTATACTGTTAGGGTGTATACATAGTATACTGTTGGGGTGGTGTATCCATAGGGTGTATACAAGTATAGTGTTGGGGTGTATACATAGTATAGTGTTGGGGTGTATACATAGGTGGTGTATACATAGTATACATAGTATAGTGTTGGGTGTATACATAGTATAGTGTTGGGGTGTATACATAGTATACTGTTGGGGTGTATACATAATACTGTTGGGGTGTATACATAGTATAGTGTTGGGGTGTATACATAGTATAGTGTTGGGGTGTATACATAGTATAGTGTTGGGGTGTATACATGGTATACTGTTGGGGTGTATACATAGTATAGTGTTGGGGTGTATACATAGTATAGTGTTGGGGTGTATACATGGTATAGTGTTGGGGTGTATACATAGTATAGTGTTGGGGTGTATACATAGTATAGTGTTGGGGTGTATACATAGTATAGTGTTGGGGTGTATACATAGTATAGTGTTGGGGTGTATACATAGTATAGTGTTGGGGTGTATAGTATAGTGTTGGGTGTTTTATATAGTATAGTGTTGGGGTTTATACACTTTATGGTATTGTATTGTAAGATCCTAACTATGTGTGTACATTGTATTTCCTGACTCTGTTTCAGTCTAACACCCAGGACCAGATCCTGCTACAGTGGGAGTCGGGAGAGTCTGCCACAATGTTCATCCTGGTCGTACATGCCATGATCACACTGCTCACCTACGGACCACCCACAGGTCAGCCAACTCAACACTTAAACAATCTCATGAGTGTGGAGTTCTTCACTCTCAGTTTTCAGTGAACGTATCCTTCTGAGCTCATATCTTATGTAGTTGAAATAATTGGCTGAATAAATATTATGAAGATACAATTTACCCTTGTCACTGACTGGTTGTATTGTTTGGTGTATGGCCAGGTGACAGTCAGTACTACGAGCTGTTGGAAACATGGTTTCCCAAGGAAGGACATCTCCCATCAGCCTTCCTACTGGACACATCCGAGGAGGCGTTGCTGCTCCCTGATTGGCTGAAACTCAGGATGATACGCTCCAGTGTGGACCAACTTGTCAACTCAGGTGAGAACAAAGGCTTCCTTAACAAAGATAAAAAACATTATGTTTTAGTGGTAAATGAAGCAACTATGTCTGAATAATATTCAATGTGATACAAGTCTGCCAACAACTGCAATGTGTCAATAGTTCCATCAGTTATTGCACATAATTATTTCTTGAGGGTCAATTAAACCATATAGTAAGTTAAATTGAGGTTTTGATAAGTTTCTTATATGGTTAATGGTACCCTATCGATACCATGTAGAGTACCGAGTGTTGCAATACTCTTGTCCATGTGTATAGTTCCTTCAGTTGTTACCTCTTTCTACCACGACAGCTCTGCAGGAACTGGAACCAGCCCAGCTGTTGCTGTTTGTCCAATCGTTCGGGATCCCTGTGGCCAGCATGAGCAAGCTGTTGACCTGTCTGGACAATGCTGTGGGTTTAGACCCCACAGGGCTAGAGCAGGCTGTGCTGGACAAGGTATACATGGCCCAGTTGATTGAGATCCAGCACAAGAGAGGGGCCAAAGGAGGGGAAAAGTTCAATCTCATGTTGACTCAACATCTGCCTCAACCCAAACAAGGTCAGGGATGTTTGAAATCTATGGCGATATCTTGTGCAACCATGAATTAAATCAGGAAGAGTTTTTGTTCTTTCCAGGATAAGAGTGAGTGAGAGAGTGAGTTTTGTTTTATGCCGCACTCAACAATAATCTAGCTATATGGTGGCGGTCTGTAAATAATCGAGTCTGGACTAGACAATCCAGTGATCAACAGCATGAACATCAATCTGCGCAATTGGGAACCGATGACGTGTCAACCAAGTCAGCGAGCCTGACCACCCGATCCCGTTAGTGGCCTCTTACGACAAGGATGGGTTACTGAGGTTTAATTCTAACCAGGACCTTCCAGGATAAGAACAATGGATAACATGTCACAGGGAGATACCTGGTCCTGTGTATCCCTATTGGTATCAATACATGACATGTGTTTATGGACAAAAATTTCTTGTTATCCATTAAAACGTGTCATGTCTTCATCTTCGTCCAACTTCTAAATGTCTTTCAAGAACCTATTAGCAGAAATAGTGATCTCTATTCATCAAAGGGGCGGGCGGTGGGGTAGCCTAGTGGTTAAAGTGTTGGCTCGTCACGCTGATGACCTGGGTTCGAATCCCCACATGGGCACAATGTGTGAAGCCCATTTCTGGTGTCCCCCGGCGTGATGTTGCTGGAATATTGCTAAAAGTGCCGTAAAACCAAACTCAGTCAGTCAGTCTATTCATCAATCCTGCAGACTTGAATATTGGCATTTGTTGACCCTAAGTATCTAAATAGGTGTGTGTGTGGATTACTGCTTTAAGCACTGACTAATGTAAACTATTTCCGAATATTTCCTTCCTGTAAAGATGAAGCAGGATTTCCTTGTGTTTACCTGATGTGTGTCTGTTATTCCAGGACCAAATACAGAGGGGATGGACACTGGGGTCATTGGCTACCCCCCGGTGGCAGATCCGGAAGGTGGAGGAGGTCACACTCCCGTGGGGGAGACCCAACATGATACCCTGCCTGCTGGAGGTAAATACTGGACATCTGAACAGTTCTCCAGTTCTCCTTGCTGATTTTGTTCTGGAATTTAAGTATATTTAAGGTTGAATATGTCACAGTTGTATGGAAATTCAAGAAATAGAAGCAACTGTTCTCACTGATGGTAGCTGTATAATATATATTATACCCATATCTGTGAGAACAATTTTGTACAGTTATTTGAAAATCTATGAGATCACAACAGGTAATTATTTCCAGAAAGGGAATAATACTCATTTTCAGCTGTGACCAGTGAGTACAAGTTAGACCTGATTTTATGTAACTAGGAACCTGGAGGTTGAGGGAGTGCATGTGTTCTAAGGGTTCCAGGATTTCTGCTAGGTACAATTGCAGTTAGTTGGGAAAAGCTCCTAACATCTTCGTTCTATTCTGTTACCAGATCTTTGACCCAAGCGGAACGTCCAACCCAAGATCCAACAAGTTGTATCAAGCACTCATCAAGGTCAGTTTTCTTCCGCTCTGGTCAAATTTTCAGGCCATGACTGCTGTTTAGAATAAAACTGTTCACTTAAGAAGGCATCAGTACTTTGAAGTTTCCGAGTTGCCTCCCTTAAACTCGACCTTTGATCATGTCTTTGACTACAGATCGCCCTGAACAGTGGTTTCTGTTGGTGTGTCAGCAGCATACCATGGTGTTTCACTACAGTTACCACCTTCAGGCTTCGCTACCATGTCATTATTACAGTCACTGGTATTATTGAAATACTGCTTAACATGTGTTACATTTGACCACTGTCTAAATGCCTTTGTGTATTAACTTCTTAAAGTGGTGTGAAACCAAAGCAATGCATGTAAACTTTACTTGTGTTATTGTAAGGTTTCAAAGGTTTTGCCCATTTTGCCCTATTTTCTTTCAGTCAATATCTAGTGAGCAGGCCAAAGCTGCTGAGGTGATCACCACGATGCACAAGGTGAGTCGACGTAGATGATGTTGAGTAAGAGTTGATGTAGGTTGTTGCTGTAACTGCTGCTATAAATATGGATTTTCTGAGCTAAACTTTGAATATTTAGTTGTATTATTTTAATCTGTTAACATTCAGTAAATCAGTCACGTGTCTACTGTCACGTGTGTACTTGCCACATCACACATGACAGTATACACTTGCCACATCAAATATGACAGTATACACTTGCCACATCAAGTATGACAGTATACACTTCCCACATCACACATGACAGTACTTGCCACATCACACATCAAAGTACACACTTCCCACATCACACATGACAGTACTTGAACTTCCCAAAACACACATGAAAGTACACACTTTCCATATCACACATGACAGTACATGCTTGCCACATCACACATGACAGTACACACTTGCCACATCACACGACAGTACATATTTGCAACATCATATGAAAGTACACACTTGCCACATGACATTGAGCCCATCATATGATGCATCATCACATTGTACACGGCCATGTCTTGACAGTACATGAGCCACTGATGCATCTCATTGTTTTCGGCCTGTCTTCACTTGAGCCTCTGATGCATCATACTTGCCACATCACACCTGTCTTGATCACTTGAGCCTGCCTGATGCATCTCATTGTTTTCGGCCTGTCTTGACTTGAGCCTCTGATGCATCTCATTGTTTTAGGCCTGTCTTGACTTGAGCCTCTGATGCATCTCATTGTTTTCGGCCTGTCTTGACTTGAGCCTCTGATGCATCTCATTGTTTTCGGCCTGTCTTGACTTGAGCCTCTGATGCATCTCATTGTTTTAGGCCTGTCTTGACTTGAGCCTCTGATGCATCTCATTGTTTTCGGCCTGTCTTGACTTGAGCCTCTGATGCATCTCATTGTTTTCAGCCTGTCTTGACTTGAGCCTCTGATGCATCTCATTGTTTTCGGCCTGCCTTGACTTGAGCCTCTGATGCATCTCATTGTTTTCAGCCTGTCTTGACTTGAGCCTCTGATGCATCTCATTGTTTTCGGCCTGTCTTGACTTGAGCCTCTGATGCATCTCATTGTTTTCGGCCTGTTTTGACTTGAGCCTCTGATGCATCTCATTGTTTTAGGCCTGTTTTGACTTGAGCCTCTGATGCATCTCATTGTTTTCGGCCTGTCTTGACTTGAGCCTCTGATGCATCTCATTGTTTTAGGCCTGTCTTGACTTGAGCCTCTGATGCATCTCATTGTTTTGGGCCTGTCTTGACTTGAGCATCTGATGCATCTCATTGTTTTCGGCCTGTCTTGACTTGAGCATCTGATGCATCTCATTGTTTTCGGCCTGTTTTGACTTGAGCCTCTGATGCATCTCATTGTTTTCAGCCTGCCTTGACTTGAGCCTCTGATGCATCTCATTGTTTTAGGCCTGTCTTGACTTGATCCTCTGATGCATCTCATTGTTTTAGGCCTGTCTTGACTTGAGCCTCTGATGCATCTCATTGTTTTAGGCCTGTCTTGACTTGAGCCTCTGATGCATCTCATTGTTTTAGGCCTGTCTTGACTTGAGCCTCTGATGCATCTCATTGTTTTGGGCCTGTCTTGACTTGAGCCTCTGATGCATCTCATTGTTTTCGGCCTGTCTTGACTTGAGCATCTGATGCATCTCATTGTTTTCGGCCTGTCTTGACTTGAGCCTCTGATGCATCTCATTGTTTTAGGCCTGTCTTGACTTGAGCCTCTGATGCATCTCATTGTTTTCGGCCTGTCTTGACTTGAGCCTCTGATGCATCTCATTGTTTTAGGCCTGTCTTGACTTGAGCATCTGATGCATCTCATTGTTTTCGGCCTGTTTTGACTTGAGCCTCTGATGCATCTCATTGTTTTCAGCCTGCCTTGACTTGAGCCTCTGATGCATCTCATTGTTTTCGGCCTGTCTTGACTTGAGCCTCTGATGCATCTGATGCATCTCATTGTTTTCGGCCTGTTTTGACTTGAGCCTCTGATGCATCTCATTGTTTTCGGCCTGTCTTGACTTGAGCATCTGATGCATCTCATTGTTTTAGGCCTGTTTTGACTTGAGCCTCTGATGCATCTCATTGTTTTGGGCCTGTCTTGACTTGAGCCTCTGATGCATCTCATTGTTTTCGGCCTGTCTTGACTTGATCCTCTGATGCATCTCATTGTTTTCGGCCTGTCTTGACTTGAGCATCTGATGCATCTCATTGTTTTAGGCCTGTTTTGACTTGAGCCTCTGATGCATCTCATTGTTTTCGGCCTGCCTTGACTTGAGCATCTGATGCATCTCATTGTTTTCGACCTGCCTTGACTTAAGTGATGCTTCCACAAACTCATCTACTTCTATTTATAGTGAGGGGGTTATGGGGCTTCTTGGTTAAATTATGTCGCCAGCCACCTACACTTGTAAGAGGTGACCGAATGGATTGGGTGCCCCCTTTACTTGTATTTTGTTTGATGTTGTGGATTCTTGTTCACAGTATCAATCACATGTTTGTCTGGTCCGCACTGGCCCCAGCCATACAGCTGGAAGATGGCTGAACACATTACACATCAGGGCTCCAGATAACTTTTGGGGGTGCGAGTGTACTTACACATCATATTGCAAGTGGAGGTGTACTGAGAATTTTGAAGGAGTACTGACATGTTTTTGTGTGAGCGAGTTGGTGATGTGGTTTGTCTGGACGATTCATTGATCACTATTTCCAACCATGTTTTTGTATTTGAAGACGTGTGAGAAATAACTGAGCAACCGTGTGATGCGCGAAATGTCAGGTCCGACTGGATATAAATAGGAACAGTGTAGTTTTTAGCCAATCGTTGCATGGCAACGCAAGTGATTCCTAGTGTTGGGGTGTCCTCATGTGTCAAATCGTGTTTCGCAAAAGAAACTTGACAAGTATTTATTCGAAATAGATTTCCATTTGCACGATACGCACGGAAATTAAATGTTAGAGGCGTATTTAAAGGTATTTATGTGCTTGCTTGTATTATGTCGTACTTAATTGATATGCTTGAAATCTTGTATTATGTCGTACTTAATTGATTTTGAGATGTAGACACATCTATTATCGTTGATATTATTTTGAGATGCTTGTTGCCCAGATCCTGGAATCAACAAAAGGTGCCGAGTTTGCAGCGCGTCTTTATGAGACATCTTCCAGATCAGGACCACTTCTCAAGTTGCTCATATCTAAACAGGTGGGAAACAAAATACTTAAGAAATTCAGAATTACAAGAAAGATTCATGGAATGATTTTAAACAGAAGTTAGCCGGTGTATTCAATATGTGCAAAAATGATTTCAAAACTGAAAAATGAGACTGTATGAAAAATGGTTCTGTTTTTGATCGGGGTGGTGAGATGAGAGACACAAACAGACATTCTCTATATGTGTACCTGAGATAATGTTTTTATTGTACCACTATTGTGCTGTCAGACATCACTCTCTGATGCTGTGAGGAGGATGGTGGAACGCCTGGCTGTCTTCACACCGGGACGAAGAAGTCCACTCCTGTCGGTCATCAAGCAGTTCTTGGAAGCTGGTAAAACATCAGGATCAGAGAGTAAGACCAAAGAAAGAACTCAGATGAAACTGGAGATGTTTAAAACTGGTGGGAAAGTGGATCCTAACAAGCTCACACAAGGTAGAGTACTATTTTTCCTTATCCTGACTCATGCTCTTTTGCTTGTCTTCTTCTTCTTGCGAACATAGTGGAACACTTGTATCTCCTTAATTGAAGCTCCCTTCAATGTAAAATCACTAATTGGTACTCACCACGAGTTGCCTCCCTTGCCCTTTTGGCGGGAACAGGTGTCGCCACCCTCTGGCCTCATGCTTCACTCTCTCCTTCTTCGCCCAGTGAGCAGGATGTGAGAGCGCCTGTGTCTCCTTACACACTATATCCTTTGGTTTTTCTTAGTTTATTACCTCTTATAGGTTACTATAGAGGTATAGCTACTTTGCGTCGTGAGACGTACCGCAGATAGGTCACGCAAACAAGGGTTAGACATGGCCGATACATCGGATTCCCCTTCCAGTCAGCTGCTGTCGATAGACCCCCTCCCGTCTGGTGTTTCGCAAGAGACTCCGTCGGAAGATGGGCGTGGGATGCAGTCCGCCAACACTAAGAAGCGTCCTGCCTCCCCAGACGTCCCGTCATCGCAGATAAAGTCCAAGAGGGCCACGACGTCTTCCCAACGCAGACTTCGGACCCCCAGGGCAGCGTCGACATCTAAGGGGAAGTCTACGAAGTCGTCAAGAACTTTCTCAGCCGAGATTGTTCCAGCCGCCGAACTGGGCTCTACGATGATCAGCCGATCATCATCCCTGACGTCGCGCCACAAGAAGCGACCGGTGACAGCTACAGTGACATCAGCAGAGATGCGCCATGCAGCCTGATGCCTCTACACTGATGTCAGGCGACTTCCCTGAGGGTCAGCAGCTGTCATCGCAGAGAGGAGCACCGACTACTTAAATGCGCAGACCATCCCAGACGAGCTGTTGCGGCAGATCATGACCATGATGGAGGGCCACTACAGTCGGGAAGCAGCCAGCCCAGGGCCAGAGCAACGCCAGGCGATACCCCAGAGGCACCCCCAGTCAGCGTAGCAGCCACGACGAAGCAGCCCGAGAAGGAAGTCACAGACCACCTCAGCGAAGGGCGCCAGATGTACGGTCGTCCGCGAAGGCCTTCGGCGAAGGGGAGAGATCGTCATCATCCTCGGCCTCGTCCTCAGATGCAGACTCAGACCACCAGGCGTCATGGAAACCGTCCGCGGAAGTCAAGGCGCCGCTCCCCAGGTCGGACGCAGAGGAAGCTGCGAAGGCCGTCACACAGATCGATCATCGTCCAGAAGGGCGTCGAGGACTATTCAAGAGCTTCGCTGGCCGTCAACATTCTCCTCGCAGATCTGGGTCTTCCCATAGAAGGCGCAGATCACCTAGAGCGATCTCCGCGCCGTTCACCACGCCGATCTCCACGTGCATCACCTGCGCGGGTCATCACACAAGTCGGCACACAGGTCTACACTCAGGTCTCCCCGAAGTGTCACCCGACATAGAGATAGCAGCCCAGAGGTCACCATCAGAAGAGCATCAACCTCTCATCTCCGATGCTGGTACAGAAGATGATGGAGAGCATCATCTTCTCAAACGGCTGAGAATAAGATATTGGATGGTAAACAACCTAGATTTATCTTCACCGTCCAAGAGTGGCAACTCAGCGCAGACATACCTGATGAAGAAGGAAGGCGATGCAGACGCCATCACCTTACCTCCGATCGACCGATTGCTGCGGTGCCACATAATCTAGATACAGCCTTCATTAAAGCTCACGAAAGTGCAGACTCCACATCTGCCGAACTTTCACGCTAAGAAGTTCTCCACGCTGTATGGACCCCTTCCTGAAGGCACAAGACATCGATGAAAACTACAAGCTGATCAGCGATGTTAAGAACAAGAACTACAAGATTGACGATGCAAGCTGGTGCAGATAGAAAACATGGCGAGGGCATGTTCTTTGGCCTAAATAGATCTAGAGCGATCAATGAGACACTTATCACCAGATTTCGTATCGACCTCTGAAGATGATAGGATGATCTACTTTTCGGCCCTACTGATGCAAAAGAAGGACCAGCAGTTCCTTACAGATCATCTCACATCTGTCTCAGCAGCACTGACCTTAGCTTCGTCGTCAGAGGCCTCCTCAGCTTCCTGCAGCTGGGGTGAGAACTTTACAGCTCCACTCTATACGAAGCCCGTGGTCATCCCCAAACATCTTTGACGGAGGAATAGACAAAGTCTCCAAGGAAGTCACTAAGGACTCAGAGAAGTCCTTATGATCAAGTCGATGGAACAGCTAGCAAGCGCGATCATCAGGCAGACTTCACAAAGATACTCAGGGAGATCTAAGTTCGGGGCTACAGAAAGCCGCGGGATAGGAAGATAGCCAGCAGCCAGGGGAAAAGATTCTTTTAAATTAAGCCCATATGGCAACTATAGAGGAGGGTCAGGAAGAGGCAGGACACCCAGAGGTTCCCCCAACTATAAGCGGCTGAAAGACAGGTTGAACGACTGGAGTCTTCCACCCCAGCCGTTCCAGTACAACCGTCACAAGTGGGTGGGCGCCTCCAACTACACTGGGAGAACTGGGGAATGTTAAAGACCCTTATGTCTCCAACATTCTTCAACAGTTTCGTATCCCACTACAGGCCACGCCTCCGCTGACAGTCAACCCTTACAAGTTCGACTTACAGGCACAACAACTACCAAAGTTAAGAGAGGCGGTTACATCACTCATAACCAAGCAGGCCATAGAAAGTACTAGATCAAGTAGACATCGAACCAGGCTTCTACTCCCCAGTTTTCCTAGTACCCAAGAAAAACTCAAGGAGAAATACAGACTCATTTACAACATGAGCTTTTTTCAGCAGGAATTATCTACGCCAAACCACCAAAGTTTCGCATGATACACCTTCCTCCAGTTGCGGCGGTTGATTAAGCCCCATGGATTACATGGCCGGTATGGATCTGCAAGGCGGCTTATCTACATGTCCCGATACATCCCGAATCCAGGAAATATCTAAGATTTGCACTAGGCGGGCTACATTACCAATGGAAAGTACTCCCATTGAGGCATATCATCAGCCCCTGGCTATTCACGAGGATAGCGAAACCTATTGTCACCTATCTACATCGTCTAGGGGCTCGCGGAGTCGTTCTACCTCGACGACCGGGATACAAAGTAGATCAAGATCCACAGCATCTCAAACTACAGTTAAACTACTATCATAAAGCTACTAACACAGCTAGGATGGTTAGTAAACTTACTCAAGTGGGACCTGGTACCATCGCCAAGATCTGCAGTTCCTAGGCGTTCGATTTATCACAGTCACTGGCCGTATCGTCGTGCCAGAAGACCGTTGGCTCAAGATCCAACAGACCATTCCGTCAGCTCTACTCTCTCCGTTACACCTACGACAATGGCAGAGGGCGTGTTGGGTCTCCTCATCAGCCAAGACATGACAGTCTCGGGCAGATTACGGATTACGCCCATTACAGGTCTTCATCAATGCACATCTCGACGACCTACAACCATTCAGTCTACCGAAGCGTCTCAGACCTCATCTACTATGGTGGACCAGGAGGTCGAATGTTTCGCGAAGGTATTTGTTTAGAAGAGCAGAATTCAAAAACCCATCTAATATGTAGGCGCGTCGGCTCCAGGGTTGAGGAGCTCATCTCAGCCAACCGGACGGCATCAGGGTTATGGAATCAAAGGCAAGAAAGCAAGCTCCATATAAACATGTTAGAGATGAAAGCTGTAATCAGCATGCATACTTCATTGGGCAACATTCTACAGAATGCGCGCTTAATGATTCATACCGACAACTTCGACAGTGGCGTTCTATGTGAACAAACAAGGTTCAACAAGATCACTGAACCTATTGACTTTAAGCTTTCAACTGTTCGATCTAATACCGCGATCTAAACCCATGTCAGAGCATGTCATTCGAGCCAAGAATGTACTAGCAAGAGCGCACTCTCGGCCACATCAACCGTCACCCGACAGAATGGATGCTCAATACAGAAATATTTGCACAGATAATCAAGCAAATAGGGCGCCCGCTAGTAGATCTAATACCGCAAACGCTTCAACAATCAGCTACCGACATTACGTGTCACCAGTCCCAGACCACAAGCATGGGCAGCGGGCGGCTCTAAGCATATCCTGGGAAGGCCTCAATGCGTGCAGCGTTTCCGCCGCCAGCAATAATACCTCAAGTGTTACAGAAAATCAGACAAACACAGAAGCCTCCAACTCACTTTGAGTGGCGCCCTACTGGCGACCAGAGCGTGGTTTCCCCATTCTAATTCAAGAAATGGTCAACCAACACTAGAGCTTCCCTGGCTCAAATCTATTAATACATCCACACACCAAACAGGTGCACGGAAGCCAGAAGTATTCCAACTTCCGCGTATGGATTGTATTAAAATGTGTTTAAACAAGAGGTATTCTACCAGAGGCGGCAAAGCGGTCAACGCGCTTGCTATTCTACCGCTATTCTACACGTAACGCGGCGACGACAAGTGGCACAGTTTGAGAATTACGCAGTAAATAAAGGGATTTACAGCAAGAGATGCTACTCATCCACAAGTGGCAGATTATTTGTGTTACTACGGCAAAACAAACATTTAAAAGGCCGACATTGTCAACATATCTTGCGGCTTAGTTCTGTCATTACCATGAGAGCGGGTGTTAGATTAACAAGAACTCCAGAGTTACTGGCCTTACTACGGGCTTTCGATTGGAGGACCAAAGCGGAAGTTCGCGCCCCAGCAGGATCTGAATATAGTGTTGCAACACCTCACAAGTGAGGCTTATGAACGCTGGAGTCGACAAACTTTTGAGTTTCTCTCACAGAAAAGCGCTTTTCCTGTTATCTCTAGCCACAGCAGCCAGGATGTGTAGGAAATTCAGCACTATAGATTATGAGAGGATACGGTTTGATGACAATCAAAACACAGCACACCTGGGATTAAGATGGGATTTCATAAGCCAAAAATCAACTACCAGGTCAACCAGAACGGGTTATTTCATATCCTGCATTATCCTCCATTTCCGGGATCTCCAAGATACACTGGACTTATCTCTATAGCAGTCAGAGCTCTCAAAATCTATTTACGACGTTCCCAAAACAAGGCGAAGATTTCTCAAGCGATTATTCATTCCTTGTCGGCAACAACTCAGACAGAAGTCTCTCGTACCCACCATATCTATATGGATAGAACTGTCATGCCAGCCTACAAGGGCGGCAGGACTGGACCCCTCAGCAGCATCAAATCCCATGAAATCAGAAGTTGGCTTTCCACTCTCGCCTTACGGTAACTGTTCTTTGAATACAATTATGGAAGGATGCTTTTGGAAATCTAACATGGTGTTTGCTAATCACTACCTGAGAGATATCACCACCGAGGGCGTCTCAGGCATTCACCATTTAGATCCCTTGGTCCTCGCACAGCAGTTGACAGTCCTGGAAGTAAGCGTTAACCGTGGAGTCTTACGAAGATTAATATGCATAATTGTTACATGCATTATCTGGCTTATAACTCTCTGAGTTCTAGCAGTATGTATATATGTTCAGTGGTATAAGCTTCTCTATCAGGTAAGCTTTGATATTGTTGTTTATAATATCTCCAGTATATCATAATATGAAATACCCCAGTATGGCATTATAACCTATGAACTTATAATAGAGGAATTATCTAAGTCTATGCCTTTATGAAGTTCCCGTAAGGAGTTATTACAGTTAAATCTATATAAATCACTAATTCTATAAAATCAAAGTATTCTGTTTTGCCCACCTCCGTTCCATTAGGATTCTACAAACAAAGAGCATGAGTCAGGATAAGGAAAAATATGTAATTTTGAGTAAAATTGATATTTTATAACTTATCCTGACTCATAATTAACCTCCCATCCTCCCACATAACACTTTAGATTTCCCTGTAAATTCAAGTGTTGGGCTGCAGCAAAATCAGGAGAGAGTGAAGCATGAAAGGCCAGAGAGGTGGCGACACCTGTTCCGCCAAAAGGGCAAAGGGAGGCAACTTCGTGGTGAGTACCAATTAGTGATTTTACATTGAAGGGGCTTCAATTAGGAGATACAAGTGTTCCACTATGTTGCAGAGAAGAGAAGACAAACAAAGAGCATGAGTCAGGATGAAGTATAAAATATCAATTTTACTCAAAAATTACATTTTTGGTGTGAGTGAGTGAGTATGGTTTCTTGCCCGGCTTTTAGCAATATTCAGCAATATCGCGGTGGGGAACACCAGAAATGGCTTCACATTGTGCCCTCATGCGGGGAATCGAACCGGGTCTTTGGCGTGGCGAACAAACACTTTAACCACTAGGCTACCTCACGCCCCTGTTTTTAGTCGCGAGGGGTTGTTTTCTCCTCCTCCCAGCAATGTTACATCTTTATCATAGAGGTGACTGGGAAATTCGAACAAGACAGAACAGTGGTTGATGGCATGAGCACACATCCCCTGCAGGGTAAAGTTGGCATCTCGTTTTGTGGTGCTAACATGGTGAACAGTACTAGTTGCTTTATGATCAGTTTGTTTGCAGCCCTACACGTCATATTGGCTGCCTTGTTGTACCACGATAAAGCATCTGCCCAAAGAGAAGAGATCAATGGTTCAATCAAGGATGTGTCATGCCAAAATAGTGGCGATTATTGTCGGTAGCATAGTGGTTAAAAGGGTTTGCTTGTCGCACAGAAGACAACGGTTCAATTCCCAGCATAGGTACAATGAAGACAATTTCTGGTGTCCCCTCCGTTATTATTGCTGGAATATTGCTAAATGGAGATAAAACCATATCAAAGGTGATAAAAAATTGTACTTATTGTTGCTGTGCATTGGGCTCCGACAGTAAGGGGATAAAACTGGCCAGCTCATGGACGAGTATATAAGTGCCTGAGTGGTGTGTAACAACAGCATGGGATCTTGTGGGGCCAACACTATTAACAGAGAACTGGTGTTGGCATTTGGGCCCTGCCATTAAGAACATGACATGCGCATGCATGTAAAGCCTTCTATCAGTACAGTAATCTTGAAAGCAACGCACCAGCCCGTTTCTAATCACTATAAGCAGCCAACATCTCCCTAGTTGCAGAGGTATAAGGCGGTGTTCTCTCTAACCTGTTATTCCTTTGTTTAGTTCGCTTAGCTGAGCGAGGAATGCTACCTACATGGGTAGCTTGTGATAGTTGACCTAATGTTGACTGGTGTTTGAAGGTCTCCCCAGCTCTGAGTGGCGACCTGACCTTGAGAACCTAGTGTAGCGGCAGTGTGTGATGATGGAGCTGATGAAAACGACATCAGGCAGATGACCAAGAAGCTTGCCAGTCAGGCTCTGATACATTTGAAGTGTAAGATGTGTGTGTTCGGCTGTATAACAAGTGAACCAGGAACTAAGTCTTTACCCTTGACGTTATCTTGTCAACTTTATCGCTGTGTTGTGAAGACAAATAATATGTTCTTTAGATGGTGAGTGTGAAAAAGTCCTTTGTAGTTGATCACCTGCGGGAGTTATGATCAGCATTGCCATTTTACCACCAGGTAAGCCCATGCTTGTATCCACTGCCTCTCTGCTGATTGACTGGTTGGAACTGCTGGACCCTGAAATCATCCAGTCAACCCGATCTGCAACGGCAGTTGATATTTGCTAAGAAGACCGTCAGCCATTAGAGGAGAAAAGGTTCAGAGCGGCGGAAGGAGCCCTACTTGCTGGCGCTGCTCACTCACCAGTGTAACTGGGGCACAGTCAACAGGTGTATCACCAGGATCCTCAACAACACAGACAAGAGGTAATGTAGTTTTTGTGGAGTCTGACATGATTTGGTTACTGATGGCTGTTGTTTCTGTATAGCCTGATATGACCTGGTTGCTGATGGCTGTGAAGCATGTGGCTATGTGTTCCATCAACATCAAGCTTTGTTTATTTCTGGGGGCGTATGGTTTACCCAGTTGTCCCAGGTGTCACATGTCTGACACCAGATTTGCCATGATTGTGTTTCTACATGTCAGCACCAGACCCATGCTGGTGGGTTTCACTCAGGTGTTAACTTCAGGCTTTCCACTTAATTTCCAGTAATATCACAGGAATACTAAATTAAGCATTAGCTAAAAGAGATCAAGATTCTTCTTTCAAAAATTAACAATTGATCTTAGCAGTCTCACTGAAAGGTAATTCAGGCAGTGAGTATTTGTGGTTCAGTAACCTTCAACTTCAGAAACCTGTATTTCAGCTTCAATGCTAGCAGCGGTGTTGGACTTCCTGTGGTGTATCCACATCCCAAAAGATCTGGCAGGGGCGAGTGCAAGAAGGTAGACTTTCTTTACGCATATGGCTGGCAGGAGGTCTTTGTTCAGGTTGTGGAGGACTGAAATCTTTCTCTTAGAAAACAATATCATTGAAGCTAGTTGTAATGCTCTTCCTGGTAATAAGCTATGTTTTATTTGTCCCAGATGGACAGTTCGCGAGGACATTCTGTCGCCCGACCATCAGCCAGGTGATATGTGGTGGTGGACTACATCCTGGAAGAAGCTGGTGACACTAGGAAAACAACTGCAGCCATGTCCTCCAATCCTGCTGGTGCCCTGAGCCCATGTTCTTCAACCCCAGAGACCCTTTGTCCAGAGGATGAGTCTGCTGAAGGCCTGCTTGGCTGACAAGGATGTCGACTGAGAGCTTTGGTGCAGATCATCTTCAAGGGAAGCCACGGTCCACTGGTATGTGTCATGTTGCCATCACTCTTCCCGTTGCTGAACACTCTCTGCTCAGTGCTCTCCACTGCTATTGCTGTCCCATTTACTCTAATCACTCTGTCCTGCCTTAACACACTCTCTATGCTCAACCTCTCCTCAACCTCACCGCTCTCACCTACCACTCACTGCACTCCTACTACTCAACCTCTCCTCACCACTCACCGCTCTCACCCCACTCCACCGCTCTCACTTACCCACTCACCTCTCCGCTTACCCCTCACGCTCTCCCACAACTCACCCGTCTCACCTCACCACTCACCCCGCTCTCCTTGCCCCTCACTGCTCTCCCTACCCACTCACGCTCTCCTTACCACTCCGCCGCTCTCACTCCACCACCACGCTCTCGCCACACCACTCAGCAGCTCTCCCTTACCGCTCACATCTCTCCCTTACCACTCACGGCTCTGCTCCCCACTCACTCCGGCTCTCCTTACCACTCCGCTCCTCCCTCCCATCCTCATACCCTCATTACCCACTCGGCTGCTCCTTACCACTCACACGCTCTCTCTTACCACTCACCGCTCTCCCTCCCACTCACGGCTCACTCCATTACCACGACATGCTCTCGACTCCTCTCAACACTCTCCGCTTGCTCACTCAGCTCTCCTCAAATACTCAGCAGCTCTCCGGCGTTACCACTCCACGGGTCTTCTTGCCACTCAACACTCTCCTTACCACTCAGCACTTTCCTTACGGCTCTCCTTGCTCACCTCATTGTCGCCCCTCACGGCTCTCCTTACCACTCACGCTCTCCTTACCCCTCGCGGCTCTCCTTGCCACTCAGCGCGCTCTCCCTTGCCACTTCACCTCTCCTTGCCTCACTGCTCCTCCTTTCCTCCGCAGCTCTCCTTGCCGCTCCTCCTTGCCTCACGTCGCCTGCTCACGGCTCTCCTTGCCCTCAGCTCTGCATACCCCTCAGCGCATCTCCTTACCACTCACGCTCTCCTTACCACTCACAGCTCATCACCCCTCACTGCTCCTCCTTACCACTCCACCGCTCTCCTTACCACTCCGCTCTCCTTACCACTCACCGCTCTCACTTACCACTCACAGCGCTCATGTCTACCAGCCAGCCTTATTTTTCTCCAGTGTTTTCTCCTGCAAACTCTCCTACCTCCGCCGATCAAGATCTCCTCTACACAACACCCATGGTTATTAATAATTTCCGCGTTGAGTGCGCTCATGGCGTCACGGAAGAACAACCTAATTTTACTGTGTGGACTGTTAAGCTGGACTATTAAATAATATTTGGTGATTATTTTGTAGTAGTGCTTCCTTTTTTGATTTACAGTGACTTGGAAAAAGAGGATGTTTTTAAACTTATCAATCTCGACTTGCACCTCTCTCTCTTATTCGACCATGAGAGGTGAAGCGAATTAAAACTGCTTTCAGGCCTGCCTTGATACGCAAATGTCCCTGTGCTGTCGCGTGTATTTCCTGCTAAGTCGCCGCTCACTAGTCCATGACAACCTGAGGAGGCATCTTGCCGATCCTCGCCCATGTGATCACCTCACATACTCATTCTCTTTCTTGTCGCTCCACTGAGTGGATGTGAAAAATTTTAATCACGATAATTGCTCAACATTGGTTAAGCCTGTTCAGGCCAAAGCGAAGATGTTAAGCTCAAAGCGTAATAAAAGTTTTTCAGCTTAGGACCCACACATTATGTGTTGATTATTGTGGAGTTGTTCTTGAGTCCAGGACAAACGTTGTCCCTAAAATGTCCGGACTGTCTAATGAGGATTTTAATTCGGCTTTAACATCGATGCGTTTGGCACATGAATAAAGGATGTCTTATCACGGAATCTGGTCCATCTCCGCTCAAAACAATGTTTATCAGCCCCTACCTGCTTTCGCCGTTCTAAATCTCCGTCTCTCCCTACTTGAAGATTTTATGGATGCTTCGATCTGATTCTATATTGTCTGAGAATGTAGCCAAAGCGTTTTGGGGCAGCTTTCCTCCCACCTAGCTCAAAGTTCATCATGGGCGATGCTTTCAGGTAGTGTCGCCAATGGCTAATCTGCACCACAAGACCTGTGATCTGCACTTCATCCTAAGTAGAATCCGTTCTTCCGGGACCGTTCAGGTCCACCGAAGCTTCTAAATCCAAGCATTCATCATCGGGCGATGGCTTCGAGCGTTGGTTGGAGACATATCCGTTCTCCTCTAACGGTACGGTTTCATTTCACTAAAAGTAAATTCACCCTTGAGTTGGAGTCACCATCTGTGGTTGGGGTTGAGATTCGTTCTTCTACTGCTGGGAACTAATCGTTTCTGGAGTCTGCGTTCGGCTCTTGCTACCGTCGTCAATATTCCAATAATACCAGTCGGAACAAATTCACCACCTGGAGCTCATTTCACCAATCAGATTGGGTCCTAGCAGCCAGTGTTGGTTCCACTAAACGGAACCATTCACCTAGCGTTATTGAATTGCGTTAGCAAGATAGAACTTCAGATTCACCTCAGCGGACGGCCGATCTCAGAACCGAAACTTCGGATTCACCAGGGCCGGAACGAGTTCACATTACCGACTCAGTTCACCCACTCAACATAGGTTTAGGTTAGAGCTCACCATCTCGCCAAGTCGAGAATCAATTCGCCGCAGCATTCTGATTCATTAGTGGTAGTTCAGTCTCACCTGAGTCAAAGTGGTTACGCCATTACCGATTCCGGTTCACCCTGGCTATGCGGTGTGTTTTGGTCGGGGTGATTTCTGCGTCAATTGATTGCTTATTCACCTCGGAGGTTAATCAGGATATCCCCTATTGAGCACTCGCGGTTAGCGCAACCTGGTCGTGGTTTCCCACATTAACATGGGTTTCTGTCGCGGGTGGTTTCACCTGCTGAGGCTTCGTTATGGTTTCCGGTGGATGGTGCGTTCACCTTCATGCCATGCCACTTCTACCTAGCCTGGGTCATAGCAGGTTATTGCTGAGGTCTTCGGAATACTGCGGTGATCCTCTCCAGGCGCGGTTTCTGACACCATAGCTTCTTGCTGTTGACCCTAAGTAGCGTGGTACACTGTAACAATATTGCTTCCTGGGATCCCCGCTCGTCGTATTGTGGTTGTGATGACCTGTGTTCCTGGAGCAAGCGTTAGCCGATTTGCTCCCTTATCAAGGGCGATATTTAGAGACATGCAGACATGCTTCTCCGATTCAACTGGCAGCTTCGTTACGCTTCAACAGTTGATCACCCGACAAATTCCCCGCGTGCGACCGGTAACTTTAACTGCCGTCGTCAATTCCATGTCAGGCCGGTGAGTAATTTCATTGGCGCATCATCAGATGATATCGTCGATGGTCCGCCTCATCCAAGCTGGCTCTGTGTTGCCAGCTGACTCACACAGCGAGTTATCGTCAAAACCGTTTAGCCACGGCATTATGTGGATGCGATATCGACTCAATGGTTAAGCCGCTAATATTAAGACTGTTTACGTATCGCCAAAGCGGTTCATCATCGATTCACATGCACAGCACGAAACGATTCACCTTAGCGGAACATTTCACCTCGCCTCATCGGTTCAAATCACTGGCGTTCTAGAATCTCTCCATCAGCTGAGATCATTTAAAGCGTTCCGGATACCGAACCGATCCAGATCCGCGGACTGATTCAGATCAATGTCCAACATTCGGCTCACCACACCTGAACCGATTTACCAACCCGACAGGAGCATCTGTGGCGCTGAATTCCTCATTAAGGAAGTGTGAGCTCGCTTCGACAATTTGATTTGTTTATCCACGGTTTACCTTCACGGCTTGTGAGAGTGCTTAATGTTTAATCTATGCTTATCCACTGCCAATACCTTTACCGGATGAATTCTTTACAAGTATACGCTAATAACTTCCACTATGCAGGTAATTTTATGATATCCAGTAGCGCGTGATCATCACAGAATCGCGCTCCGGCGCCCCGACTGGGTCTGGCTAATCAGTTCTCAAAGTCATCGACGAACCGTTTCGTGGTACAATCCTGTCGTAGGTCTTCGCAACTGATGGATGATTTGGTTCGCGATTCTACTGCGCCCGGTGTGAGTATCGGTAGTTCTTACCGAGCACCCGGTCATAGCGGTACTGGATAAAACTTTGCTGTCAGGAAATACTATGACGCTCTTTTGGAGGTCGCTTGTTGCTGCAGACTGCTGGTAACCAAGTGTTGCGATGACATCGTTGGGTGCGGTTATTTATGATAGTTCGTCATCTTCGGCAACATTTTTGCAGTAAACCTTGGTTCTGGACGGATGACAGATTGAGGGTGGTTTTGGCGGCGGTGATGTTTTGTCGAATGGCAGCATAACCGGCAGGTATGGGTGCTGACTCGCCGGTTAACGAACAGTGTTGTCCCGGATTTTGCGATAACCATTGTTAACGTTTACCGTCGAGGACTGCTGTTTATTTCCGGAAATTTTGATGATTAAATTGACCATAAGTGCTGCATACAGACTGCCGTAGTCCCCGCAATCGGATAAATCCGTACTTTAAATGTAGTAACAATGAATGCTGCTCATTCCACGATAAAGAGTGATTTATTATTAGGGTTTTGACTGACCGGTGGGGGCGCAGCATCTGGGGTGACGGTGAAACACTAAAAGTGAGCGGTTTTGTTTGAAACTGAAGCGCGAGTTCAGGGTCGCGGTTATGCCAGGACTGTCCTCAAACGAATCACCTGCTATCGCTCACCTGAAAACCATCATTTGTTGACCAACGAAACGTTCACAAGATCACCGATCATTACTGGCTCTTCAGTCGTTTAATAGGAACGTTCATAATGAATTGACGAAAATGAAGATATAGCAGAGACATCGCCGCATTTGAACGCTCCGTCAGAACTGACCC